TGACTTGAAGAGGGTTTCTGCGGAGAACCACAGAAGCAAAAAAAGAATAGGTTTGGAAGGGACCTCAGGTAGTATATAGTCCAGCCTCCTGCTCAAAGTATAGCCAGCTGAGGGACCAGATGGGCTGCTGAGTGCTTTATCCATGTTGCTGTTGAAAGCCTTGAAGTCCCTTGGAGAACTGTGTAATCCAAAATTAGAAGATGGATTTGTCTCACTGCATGTATGGATGTTGATATTGCCTGAGCCTACAAAGCAAGATGCAATTCGCTTCACAAGCACCCCTGCTTCATTCAGATCCCAGATGGATGTGTAGGTAGTAGGGAGGGGCACATAAGGAAGCACACTGGTGAAAGATATTTTCGGTAGCTTTTATTCCAGAAGTTAGATGGCCTGTAATCATTAAGAAAGGAGGACTGTAGAAGTAAAGATTTGGTCTGGTGGATGAGATAGGTATGAATTATAATTATTTGTTTGTGCAGATAATTTTCAAGCTACTGATGGACAAGTCTTGAAATTTTAACTGTAACTAACTAAAAGATAACTAAGGATTGAAACTGTTAGATATTTCTGGTTTTCATCTAGAAGACTTCAAAAGAATGGAGTAAAATGACTTGTTTAAGTGAGACCAACGAACATACAGCTTGATAATATAGCTTCATAATATGAAATATCAGGTCTAGTAAGCTAGGAAATGCTATTATCTGGTAGAATTCTTCTGAATAGGATCACACTTGGTTTTGTATGTCTTTAGGCTCTGTCCCAAAGAAACATCTTGGCCTTTCTATTGAGTAAATACTTCAATGTTTTCCTATTTAAGAGAATGCAATCAGCAAGCATTGATTGTCTGCCTACAAGTACAACTAAACTACCTTGCATCAATATCCAGCCATTTCAGAAGTAGACAACGTCTTTGAGATATTATGATACAGTAACATTCAGTGGAACATAATGATTTTACTAACTGAAATCTGTGTTCTGTACTACTGAAACCAGAAGTACACTTAATTCTGCCATACAAAGCCTGTTTGTACTGTGAATCCAGAAGCAGTGTTTTCCTAATATCTATTCCCTTACAGAAGTCCATAATAAAATTGTTTTCCTTTACAGTCTTTCAGAATTAACATATTTATCAGATTTGATTTAGGTCACCAGATGCTTAGATGTAAATAAATTTATGAGTTGATTTTGATAAGAATTGCACAAAAACAAATCTCTTTCCCTATATCCCATATTCCCCCCACAAAACCCCAATCATGCCGCAGTGTCTTTTTTTTTTCCTTAAAATGTGTGTGAAATATGGATAGATGAGGTGAAAAACATCTGACACCCTTGAACAAACTACTGTCCAGAAACGGTGAGACTCAAAGCATAGAAAGGAAAAGCGTAACAATACTACAAAGAATGCCTCTTTTAGTTCACCATCTGCTTAAAAAAACAAAACAGCTGCTTAAACAGGATGTAGATAACATCATCCCCTATGTCCCTTCGTAAACATTTTCCAAGGAGACAGTGATTAGCTACTTCCTTTACAGGATATCTCTTGGTCGGCACCAAGAGGAGAGACACTGTTTATTAGAAATATAGAAGTGAATTGTTTTAACCTTTTTAAAGTACTTTCACAGATAAATTGTTGTTGCTCAGATAGTACCTTTGAAAGCGTGATAGGATGAAAGTTGGGCTCAGTGAAATGTGGGTTTTTTTTGGTGTTTTGGCTGTGTTAAAAATTCTCTTTTTCAAATACAACTCAAATTGCAGTGATCTTTTGAATAGGAAAGAGATGTAGATACATGATTTCCATCATACAGAGCTGATTCAAAAGTTTCAAACACATTGCACAAAATCTGATTTTGCTTTTGTGGAGCTGAAGGCCAGTATTAATGATTTTGCCCACTCTATTTGCCTTGACAAATTTAAGTGGTAGGGACTGTGTGAAGAAGGAAGAGTGACAGATAAGGAGAAAGAAGTAATCACAGAGGTTTCACAGGATGTGGGTGTTTTAGGAATGGTGTTTCTCTGCCCTTTGCTGCCCTTCTGATCTTATAAGCAGGGCAGAAAACATTTCCAAGGGGATTTTGCCCTAAGTACAAGCTAGTGCTAATTTGAACTGAACACTGATTGAGTGCTGAATGTAGGTGGACATAATGCACTGCGTCAGTAAGTTCCAGATTCCTCCTCTCCTAAGGGACCACCTTTCCTTTTGTATTGCCTTAGGGGAAATGCTCTTTTCCCTTCCAACCTGGTTTTGCTTATTCCTCCCTCTTCTCCTCTTGGTGGGCTCAATATTAATCAACTGAGGAAGACTGGAAGCAAGAGAGCAGGGGAGAAAAAGCATCTTCCCCGAAATACACCCAGTGCACTGTGGAGCTCTTGGTGCTGGGGATCAGCAGAACAGGGTTGTGAACAAAGGTAGAGTGCATACAGTTACATACAGTTAATGCCAGTGGTTGCCAAGGGCTTTCTGTCATCTGATGTTATTGATACAAGAATTAATGGAAAGTTGGCCATTATTACAAAAAAAAAAAAAAAAAAAAAAAAAAAAAAAAAAAGAAGAAATAGGCAATTTCTTAGCCATGGGCTGAATGTTGTAAGTTTTGCATGTACGTATATGTGATCTAGGACAATCATGTTCTCATGAAGGGATCATAAGATCTGTTCCTCAGTTTGATGGAATTAAAAGATACTTTATAATAAATTACGCTGGGAACAGGATCAGGCAGATGAATACAACATTGCACATTTTGAGTGAACAAAATTGTAACAGTCCATTGTGGCTACATTTAAAATAAATACAGGTCAATTGTCAGCTATGTGGATCTAAAATCCTGGAAGTTTTTCCTCAACTGCTAAAACCTTTTCACCTTTTCCTCTACCTCCTGGTTTTATGCCTCCTGACCTTTCTAGGTTTAAATCACCATGAATTACTTTCTGTTAGAAAGATCTCCTCAGAATAACAGTATTGTCAAATGACAATATTATCGAGTAATCGTATTGTCAAACATTACTGTCACTTTCTGGATTAGAAATATTGTCAACTGCTGGCTTCAGTTTTAATCAGAGAGAATAGCTGTAGCAATACTGAAAAGAAGGTAAATGCAAATATATACCCAAATAAATATTCACTAGTATATCAGTATTATGATTCAAATATATTTTGGCATTAGTTCAGCAAGCACATTTAAACCCACTCTTCTTACAGGCAGGGAGAGGCATCGTCATATGCTGAAAATTGAACTGGTTTAAAGAAAATCCTTACTTGCTTTGAACAACTCAAGGAGCAACATTAAGAGGTTCCTACATAGCCCCAGCTCAAGTGCATTTTTAGGTTAAGGATCTTCTACTTTCATTACAGCTGTATTTGTAAACATTCAACTCAGAAAACACAGTTTTCTAAGCACAGTTTCTAATGCACAGTTGTCTATATATGCTCAATACCTTCAGTGCTAGGATTTCTGGAAGTCAGGCTACAAGAAGGCTAGGTAAAGTGTCCAAAACTTCTAGTAACTCCAACTGGAATTTGTGTGTTTGTTTTTTAAATTGTCAGTTTACAGCTTTTGTTTTGTCCTTTCAATGATTTGTAAAAAGAAATAATTAATTGTATCTTTCTTTAATACTTCTGAGTGTTTCTAAAATCCAAAGGTATAAATCTGAACAGTGAGATCTTTCAACAACTTGGAAATAACCTGTTAGTGAAATGTAAAGATTCTAGTATTGTCTGAACATGGTTGCTTGGGTGTGTTTTTTCTGTTTTCCTATCTACCTGTTCTATTTTATCTTCTTGGGAATTTTGAAGGGGTGGTTGTAATGTTTGTTCAGGGTGACTAACAGGTTTTAAAAAGGGATTTGAGCTATTTCCTTGTCAAATGCAAACATGTTTCAAGATTTGAGTTTAAGTTTAGTAGTATCAATCTTTAAAAAGTCAGAAAACAAAGAGGAAGAGGGAAAAATGTTGTCAGTAAATTGCATGACTAATAAGACAGAGTAACTGAACTAGTATATTCTAACGCAGATTGCTTTACATCACATTTAAGAGCATGCCAAACATTATTATTCTCAGTGCTAATTGCATCAGATACAGGATATTATTTAAAAGTGTGGACAAAATTTTAATACTGTTTCCACAGTAGAGGGAAATGACAATAATGAAAGAAAAATGAGCATAAATGGAGGTCAGATTCTACCAATATTCAAATCACGGTTTTACAAGGTGTAAACTAATTGTATACAGAAAGCAAGGCCATTTAAGATCTTTTATCTCAGTCTGTTGTTGTGGCAATGAAAAAATAGTTCATCCTCTACTGAGGATTCATTTTGACCCACCAAGGAGAAGCACTCATGTGCCATGGTGGCTTAATGTTATACTGGAAGTCAAGGACATGAGTAGATGTGCTAAACTGTGCTATGCTGATAATTGTGGTGATGATGCTGAAATTAACAGGTGCAATTTGATTATATTTTATATGCTTAAGAAGTTGTTCCATAGGTGCTGCATAAATCACAGAACATGTTTGGGTATAATGCATGAAACTGAAAAGGATAGTTCTTTTTTTATTATTTATTTTTCATGTTTTACTCTGTGTGTCTGAATTTACATATATGTAGTTCAAGTTAACATGCAGCCACATTTTCAAGCATTGCATGCATGTATCCCTCAACACTGCTTGTACCATCTACCAGATCCTCCTGTTCCCTGAAATTTAATTTCAGTGCTTTTGAAAACATCAGGGATATGAAGAAACTCAGGAGGTCACTCAGCTATCCAGCAGACTTATCTCAGTCGTATGGCTTCTATATTTCAATTTTCCCCCTATATATGTATAGACTACAAGATGGTGTTTTCTGTTTGTTTTTAAAAATGCTTTGGTTTTAATTTCATTTTATCAGTTTTGAAAATAATGTATTTTTCATTTTTTAAATTTCTTTTTATTTCATGTTTATTTTTGGCTCCCACAAAAAATATATATATATATATTTAGCAAGACAACTATTCAGAACGAAATGTTTAGCAAGACAATTACTTTGATGTGACTATATTCTGAAAAACAACAAAACCTCCCACTGTAAGAAACCCTTGTGCTATCTTTTGACTGATTAAATACCATGCTTAAGTTTAATCCATTTGATATTTTGATACTTTAGATATTGCATAAGGGGATATTTTTATTTGATGCTTTTTAATTTTTAAAATGATTATCAGCTGTTTTTTATCACACTTGTTAAATGAGATGATAATTCCTCAAAGTTTTAATGTTAATGGACATCTCAGTCCACAGAGAATTTTGTATTCCAAACTCTTTAGATTCAATTTCAATTCTTAATATCCTGACACAGCTGCTTCCTCACCCTGGTGGCATCTCTATTCCATGACAGAATTGCAAGTACTCAGTAATGCTGTTCCATCTCAGCCTCATCAATATCTATCAGCTGTTTGGTTCTCTGGGTTTGCTGCTGAAAATCTTGATCCAAGAAGCACATAGTGCTAAGTACTACATAAAACAGAAGTGGAACTCAGTTTCTTCCTCTCCCAAGAAAGTGTTTTGATAGTTGGCCATGTTTGTGCTTGTAGTGCCTGTGGTTTAGTGGTTCTTTAATTATTGAAAAGGGGAGAGAGAGAGAGAGCACTCTTCCCTTTTAAATATCCTATAGCATGCCATTTAAGACATTTTTCCACTGAGATGTGGGAGTTAAGGTTTGAATTTCCATAAACAGTGGAAGGAATTGAACTGAGGCTTCTCATATCCTAAGAGAGTGCTCTAACATCTAAGCCATTTAAATACCTTATGAATGCATTGCAAATGGTATTGCCTTCCTTGCCCTTTGAAAGGTAAGTCTCAAGAGCCTATCCAGAACCTAAAGGAACAGAACTGCTTTTTTTCAACAAAGACTACTTAAGCACTTCGTGTGTTGTAAGTCAAGATAGAATCTCTCACTAGGAATTATTTACCTACATTAAGCTGCTCCCAGCTCAGAATGCAGCCTGTTGTAAATCTGAGTGATTTAAAGTTATTGGTTCTGGTTCCATGGCCAAGCACCTTAACTTGCATGTTACTACTTATAACATCTAGTTAATGCTATGTTTTTGAGGATCTGAGCTGTGAGACACTCAAGATCACAAAAGAAAGCTATGGAAGAGCAAAATACCGAATTCAGATGTCAAAAATCTTTAACAAAAATCAACCTGCCTCTATCACATATTTCATCAGAACCAATAGATAAGTCATAAGCATGCTATTGGCCTATGCTCCCACCTTTCCTTGATTACTGCACTTTCTTGCATTGCAGTTGTATTATTGTTTGAAAGTACCACCCTCTTTAAATGCGTAATTGCAGTGATTGTGCAATCATCGTTATCTCTATTCATTACTATAGCAACTGGAATAAAAACATTCTTCAGCCCTTCCCATATAAAAAGGTCTTCACTTTCCTTCAATTTTATGCATATGCTGAGTGAATGTGTATGACACAATGGAAATTGCATGCTTTGAAGGCTGCTCAAGTTAGTGAGGGCGGAAAGTTAAATTTCCCTGAAGTACTTGTTTTAAAAAAAAGGGAAGAAAACCTTCTGATCTGCTCAGAAGGACTCAAATTAAGTAAGTGTACTATTTCTCCAGCTTCCTTCGTGTACTCTTGGCAAAGCATTTCACCAGCTAGGAAGAGGAGCAAAGCAAGTAGGCAGCAAAATAAGTCCCAGTATGATACAGATGCTCAAGCTGTATATTCTAACATTAGAACTTGAGTCTTTGCCCTGCCTAGGCTTTAATGAGGCCTTGCTTACACTGATATCTTTGTAATTACAGCTCCCAAACTTTGTCTAAGTATAATAACTGACATCATTAGCATAAATAATCCAAATCATGAACAAAACTTCTTCTTTCTTCTTCCTTTCTTTAACTATAGCATCTGGAAGTGGCAGGTAGTGCTTGTTTGTCTTTTTAATTAACACATTCCTTAACACAGAGGAAAATGTGAAAACTTAACTGAAGGGATCTATGTTTTTCTGGTAACATCAAAACAAAAGTAGCATGATTTCTACCACAAAAAAAATTCAAGGATCTGATGATATTTGCGCCCTAGCTACAGTCTGACGTACACAATTGTTCCAGTATTTTCACAGGGCCTGTAGGAATTCCATTGTCTTTGAGATGTGTCAAATCTTGTTACAATTTGCCAACAGGTTGAGAAGTTACTACTTGAACTCATGTGCATGTACCCATACACAACCACTCTGATTGCACAAGTTTCATTTCCTTAGGAAACCAGGCTGAAAACAGAAGGCAAAAATAGGGAACTCAAAACTGTATTCCAGTACAATATACCACATACATTCTAGTAAGTGAATAGATTGAGTTCTTCATTTCTCCTGTACAGGCGAAAAGCAGTACAATCCACTGCCTATTGGATTTAAATGCAGTTAATGTGGATTCCATTGTTTGCCATTAGTTGTGTAATTCTAGTTAAATTCTCTCCCATTTCTCCTTTTGCCTGCTTAAACAAAATTTGGTCAGGCAGGAGCAAGTGTTTTCTCCATTCTTCAGAGTGCTTAGCATGTTGCTGCCCACAAAAGAATCTGAAGATGACTAGAAACACATAGGCTGCATTTCTCTAATTAATAATCATACGAAAAGCCAGAACAGAAACAATATCTGAGGTTTTCAGTAACCAGTACATCAAAGAAGAGAGGTGTAGGCAGCTAACTTTTTGAAATCAGCATATAGATCAAAGGAAATTCATTCTAAACTTGGATTATTTTTTTTTCCTGGATCATTTAAAGCAGATAAATAATTAAGCTAAAGGATGCAAATAAATAAATAAATATGGAGGATGAATCCATTTACTAGTTTTTTCTACTCTGAAGAATAGAACTGGGTAGAATAGGATACTTAAGCAGACATTTCTTTGGCTTCTTAGAAAAGCATGGGAATCATATGGGTTAGTAATGGTCCTGCTTATTATTTCTCCTGTTTCTGAACTGAGAATCAATGCTACATCAAGAAATTCTGGCTAGTTTTGATGTTACTGGTGATGCAAGTGCTGATAACTTGGCAGAGGTCTTGAAGCAGAGCTAAAAAGAGTTACAAATGCCTGGCCTGCTCTGCACCTTACTGTAAACAGCCTGAGGGATGGGTTCTGTGATAAGAGGGTAAGCCTACACCACGCCCTAGATTCAGTTACATGAGAGAGGGTGACACATTTTCATCCACACTAACTCTTTGATGCTGTTTACCTTTACTTTCCCTTCAGTTCAAACTAAAATACTGAATTTGTGCCTCGGGTTTAGCAGCTCTAAAATAAGGGTCCTAAATTGTTTAAAAATCATCCTTGACTTAAGTCTGAGACAGTTTCATTGTCTATAAAAATTATGCCCCGAATTAATGCAAAAAATGATACCCCAAATTCTGTGCAAATTTTGAGAAACAGTCAATGAAATCTGATCTTAGTTCATACTAGAGGTCTACCATTCTCAGTTTGTATTAAATCAGTAACAAGATTTATACGGGAAAGCCACCTCCTTCCTTCAATACTTTTAGATCTTGTATGAGAAGGCAGTCACTAGATGCCCTCCTTTGCTTCACTCTTTATTCCTAAGACTGTCCCTTGAGAATCCCAGGCCATAAGAGCCTGGGGAAAGGAATACTTCCCCTTGGTCAAATAGGATCTGATCAGAGATAATCGAGGCAAATTCAGTGCATGTAAATCCACGGAGCTCACTGGGCTCCTATGAGTGCTGAGAGAGCTGGCAGAAATGATTGCCAAGTAGTTCTCTATCATCTTTGAAAGGCTGTGGGAATGGGAGAGATGCACGAGAACTGGAGTAAAGGCAGTGTCTTCAAAAAGAGCAAGAAGGAGTAAAGGGGAAGCCACAGGCCAGTCAGCCTCACCTCTGTCCTTTGGAAGACAATGGAGCAGCTTATTCTGGATATAATCTTCAAGCAAGTTGAAGAATAGAAGTTTATCAGGAGTGGGGAACATGGATTCACCAAGGAAAAATTGTGCTTTGCCAGTCTGGTAACCTTCTGTGATGTCATAACTGGCTGGATACATGAGGGGACAGCAGTGGATGTTGGCTATCTTGACTTCAGCAAGGCTTTTGACACTGTCTCCCATAACATCCGTATGGGTAAACTTAGGAGGTGTGGAATTGGTGAGTAGACAATGAGGTGGACTGAGAACTGTCTGACTGACAAAGCTCAGAGATTTATGATCAGCAGCACAGTCCAGTTGGTGGCCTGTACTATATTCTCCAGGGGCTGATACTCAGTCTAGTCTCATTCAACATCCTCAACAGGAAGTGAGCAGTGTAAGTTCCATCTGAACATGAGAAAAACTTTTTTACTTAGAGGATGACAGAGTACTGCAACAAGCTGCCCAGAGAGATGGTGGGGAGTCTCCTTCTGTGGAGATAATCAAAATCCACCTGATGCTTTCCTGTGTAACTTGCTGTAGGGAATCTGCTTTAGCAGGGGGGTTGGACTAAATGATCTCCAGAGGTCCTTTCCAGACCCTACAGTTGTAAATCTGTAATTCTGTGGTTCTTCTTGTGCATAATGTGTTTATAAAGACCTGTTTTGCTTTCATACAAATTCTAGGAATTTCCAATACTCAGCAACATCTGTTTAATTTTTCTGGTTAGTAATTAACCAGAATTTGTTCTTGATCCACAAAAGGAATTTTAAGAAAAACTTTTACAGCAAGATATGCCTAGAACACTGAGCATCAATTAGCACCTGAATACTTAGGAGAAAAAAAAATCCTTGAGATGGCATTAATTCATCCTCTGCAAATTGGCATGAAACAAAAGTGTTGACTACAATTATGCTGAGGCATACAGGCTGGAATAGCATAGAAAAGTAAATATGTTGTATGTGCTATGAATGTGAAAACAGTCATTGAGGAATTCATCAACGATCTTTCAACCTCAAATCTTGTTTGTATATAAAATATTTGATACTTCAAGCATGTTGTTAAGAGAAAAAAAAGGCAAGTTTTCACTTTTTGCTTAAGCAAACATCTCTTTAATGTGTTCTGTAGACCTTATAATAGTTTGTTTTATACTCAGACTGTAGCTTAGGAAAAAAATCCCAAGTAGTTGGAATTTATCCTGGTAATGTATGCAACAGTACTGTCATGAAATCTTTTCAGGTCTCTTATGTGGAAAGAACTTTGGGATATAATTCTGATCCCACTTATTCGTTTGATTTTTTTAAGTGCCTCATGATGAACTATGAAGCAGCACATTGTGCAGACTGTGTAGAGAAACTACAGAATTTTTTTTACTGGAATAGTTAACGTCTCTTTATATTAAAAATCAGAACTGAGGAACTGAGAAACTGATAGAAAGAAAGGTGTATAAAATATGTTGCATGGATATTTTCCATAACTAAATATATGACATTTGTACCTATACAGTTTTATGTAGAATAGGAAAGACTTTTTTAAGTTCTGGGCAGGATAAAGTAGATATGTTTTCAGAATAAAGCCTCACATCAGGAAGAAATTAGCTTGTTGCACAAAAAAAACCTTCAGCTGATAAATAAGAGGAATAACAAAATAGAAAATATCACTTACTCTGACTTAAAAGACACAAAGTTTTATGCTTTCTTATCAGAACATTTAGAAACAAAGTTAATTTACCTAGATCTGCACATTTATAAAATCTAGCTTGTAGTGCTGATTCTGCAATTTGTTAAACATTCATTATTAAATTAACTGCATCTGTAAAAATGACTTGTGCACACGTATTTAGAATTTCAATAGCATCCTGGTTTTTAGGGTTGCATTGGAACTGTTGAGTCATGGTCTGAACCACTGATTGACCCCTGAGGGGAGGACTGAGTCAGCTATGGGAGCACAGGTGAAGTCAATTCACATTTGTGACCAGAAGGGATGGAGCCTGGCCGCACCCCTCCTAGACTCCATTTAAGTGCTGACCCCCATGGGGGAAGGTTTACTTTTTGGAGGTACTTCCTTTTGGACTTTTCTGCTGTGAGCTGAGGATATGTGTGAGTGTTTCATTTTTGATTGTCTTTTTCTACCACAATAATCTTTCGAACTATAAATCTGTAGAAAACCATCCTAACCATACCACTTTTCTAACTGTAAATTTGTTAATTGTATGAGGATGTGTGATCACCCTGATATATGAAGTGTCTGCTAGAAGTAGGTTTTTAGTGCCTAAGGAATAAACTTGCAGGCTTTTTTTAAATTTATTAAATGTTTCTGCCATTAGATACTTATGCAAAAAAGTAAGATATTTAAGCTTTCAAATATATTTTGAGTTATGTTCTATAAAATCCTTAATTGGTAAATTTGACTTTTTTCATTTCTGTAAACTTTCTTGCTGTATGTGTATGATACAAAAAACTTTACAGCGTGAGATTTTCCGTGACTCTTTTCCTTTGCTGGCACACTCTGTTAGCATTGTTGCTTGTCTATAACTAGTTTTTATCTTTATTCCTAGCTTCTGTTAGCTTTTTCTGAGGATCAGTGCAAAAGCAGTACTCCTTATGTGCACTTGGATTCCAATATATACTTCATACATTTTAATATATACTTCATATCTTCACCTTAGATCTATACAGCCTTTTTTTTATGCATGTCACTAAGTGTTTGTCTTTGCATTAAATACTTTCTTTCAGAGTATAGCAAGTGGTGCAGTAAGTTCTAAGCTGTGCTTTTTATGCTGTTTAATTTTATATTGTATCCTGAAAAAGAAATGTGTCTAAGGAAGACTAAAACTGCAAAATAATCCCTAAGTTTATATAAGTCCCCACAACAGTCTCTAGGTAAACATACATTATTAGACAGTCTTTACTTAAATAAGAGCATATTATTTTGGCAAGACTCCTGCCCAATGACTGTGTACTCAGTGCACCTGGTAATCAATGATTGTTAATCAGTGAGGGTACTGTAATGTGAAGAAGTTAGCTGGGAGGAAGATTACCAAAGCTACTTGTACTAGAGCATATCTGGTGGAACTCTTCAGGGGTAGGTCTTCAAACAAACTCTGTTCAGTAACTTTATTAAAATGATTAGTCTGGAGATAAAAATACATGATAATTGGATTTGCCAATAACAAAACATGCATCTATTGTTAATAGAGAAGACTGCAAGATTCAAGAAGAACTGGATCACTGTAAGACTTGAATAAGGGATATAAGGGAAATATTGAATAGTGTATAGTGCAAATACCATCCAGCACTAACTCTGAGAGTTTCTGTTGTTAGCATGTTGACTGTAGACAGTTGTGGTGGGGACAGCTGCAGTGGGTGGCTAATCATGATAATTATAAGTCACAGGTACAGCCCCAGAAGAGACGGATGTACTAGATGAGATTGATTGCCATAGTGCTGGAAATTAGTTGTAGGTTTTGATGTGCAGGAGACTTCTCATCTATGGTATTTCTTTGAATCTGAAAATATTAGCACAAGAACAGATATCATCTGCCCCTGTGTAAATTCAGACTGAACACTAGAAGTTTTCTGGCAAAGTGGTCTGTGAAATCTGGAGATGATGGGGGTTATAACTTCTCATATTCTGGGCAAGCAATCCAATAAGCTTAAATCAAACTTTGAGCTTTTGGGGAAAAGATTATGTAGTTGATTGCAATTGCGGAAAAATAGACTTAGTTATATACATCATAATTTAAGTCTGAATACTTTATGGTTCTATGAACTGTAAGATGTTTTCTGCAGCATGTTGTTCTGTGCATTATATACAGCTTACTGCAGTCTATATTGAGTACAGAACAACTAGCTTCCTTTTTACAACTTCTGTTGCTGTTACTTAATTCATTTTAGTAAAGATTGAATGAAAGATAGTTTGTTGTATACATGCAATACCAAAGTATTGAGGGTAAAACTCAGACAGTTAAATTAGGTACTGCTGGGTAACTACAACCTATTATTCACAATATTTAGAGATTTGTATTTGAATAATACTCTCTCTCAGCTGAGAGAAATTGGCTCTCTTGCAATTTAGGCCACGGATGCCTTTTTGTATGTGCCTTGAGTGATACTTAGATTGAGGAACTGGATGGAAGAAGCAGTTTAAAATTGTCCACTATGTTCTCCAGTATAAGTTCTGCTGTAGCAGACCCTTGTTTGTTTTCGCCTGAGATGTTCCTTGCAAGAAGAGGGGTTTATCCAGCAGTATTTCGGCTCAAGATGACTGTTAAAACACTGAAAGAAACTGAAATGATGCTGATATACAACTTATGCAAAATACATAACTATACAACATGGTTGAATTAATCCCGTTCTAAGTGCTCTGTCAGGCACTATTTTTATCCTAAGTCTGGGTTTAGAGAACAACTTCCAAAGACTCCAATTCCAATACACAGGGTTTCAGTGGTAATACCAAGCTAATGCATTTTTGTCTTGTCTATGCCTGGCCTTTGGCTACTCCAGCACTGCAGTTCACATCTGCCCTGTATGCTGGGGGATCATGTTGTGTGCAAGTCAGTCAACAGATCTGGTCTTTTTGTGCATGTTTTCTTTCTAACCCAAGTCAGTTCAATCATGCAGTTCACAGAATGACTCACAAACTGTTGCTCTGGTTTCACCTAGAAGAGGCACATGCCCTACCACCTGCACAGGAACAAACAACCTGAAAAGCACCTTGAGATGCTGTGTCACAGAACAAAGACTCCTGGGTACATCTGCTTTGGATATGGAATGTGTGAACTTTTGTGGAAAAGAGTTCAAATGTGAACAGATATTTGAATAGGCTGTAGTCATTATGAAATTATCAAATATAAGCAAATCCACACCCTCATCTTGGTGAATTCAACAAGGGAAGATGGCTTAGATATCTACTGGTATTGTCAACAGTTTGAGACTATTGTTTCATCTGCTTCATCTTCTCTGTCTAGAGAAGATAAGAAATAATTTAGTGCATTTTCTCCTAACTTTACTACCAGGAATGGTACAATACACAGGAATCTGGTAGCAAGTCGTAGCTTGGAAAAATTCTGCTCTAATAGTTGATGCTTGCTATTTTTAAAAAGGAAAGAGTTGAAAACTATAAGGATATACAAATAAAGTTGGTAATATTGTTGTTAAACTGTTGTCTTACTCTGGTTTTTTATGCTCTGCTTTTATTTTGACACAGCCTGTATGAGCACTTAAAAAAAAAAAAGTGCTATGATACATAATAAAAGTGAGCTTCTGGGAAATCTGTGCCTGTCAGGTAGTGATTTTATGAAACCCAAGAAAAAAAAATAGCATTAATCTCATCACCAGCTACCAGTTGCTACCAGTTTCTTCTTTATTTCAAATAGCTTCTATTTAATCAGAATTCCTGAACAGTCAGACCCGAACTTTTCTCACACTAAGCTATTTCAGGTTGCACAGGTACATTTGAGAAGTGTTTTCCCTCAGATGTTTGTTGAAGCCTTGGATTTAATCTAGAATTTATGAGTGAATTTCATGTTGAGACACATCATGATTACCTGCCATGTGGTTTCACAAGGGGGTCATTTTGCCTTTCTTACTATTCCTTTCAAAGAAATTTTTAAAAATCTGGTAACTTTAGTGGATGAGCTAATTATAATGAAGTGTTATCTTCCTTTTTGCATACAGCTCTCATAGATATCACATAAGACATAACTGCCAACAGAGCTTTACTCAGTGTTGAATGAATGATCAAAGAATTGCCCTTCAAGTTATTTTAATTATGGAATTTGGAAATGATGACTTAAGGATGAAGCAGTACTCCAAATTTATTGTCTATTCATATATTGCTTGTCAGCTTCCTTGATAACTCAGCTATGGTCTCATACTGAGTATGAGAAATTCACATGTGACAGTGATTTCAAATAAGTTAGCTAACTAACCTAACTCAACTGTAAATACTATAAGCTGTCAACATTGCAACAGCTAAGAGTCTTTTCTCAGTTGTGAGTTTATGATTTAGAAAACACTTATTTCTGGTTTGAAGATGAAGTAAAAATTGAAAATGTAGATATTAATCATAAATTCTACATGTGCTTTTAAAGATATTGAAGCCTCTTAAATCCAACTCTCAGTCCAGGACTTGTGTATAGGAATACCATCTGTACTTTAAGTAGTAAGGGATGAAAGCTTTTAGCTAGAATGAGAAAAAGATTCTCGATTCCATTAAAACTGCAGTTTCCTGTGAAGTGAAAGTTACATTTCTTTAGCAGATAAGACTCTACCTTTCTGTTTATATGGCATCTAACATCTGATGAATAAAACTAGAAATCTTGTAAAGAAATTCTATAAAGGAGAAATCTAAGTCACTGAACAAACTAGCAGGCAGAGAAAGGAGTAAAGATCCATGCTGCATACATCACTGAGTAAGGAACATGAAAACACTATTCTTATTGAATCACCTCCCTGGCATGTGTTCACCTAATGTAAAAATTATTCTACTAGAGATGTAACATTGGTCTCAGATCTTTCTCTTCCATGTTCTCCCTCTCCTTTCAAAGCAGTAATTTATTTTCTATCTTTTAGGAAGTCAATAATGTGTCCTTTATATATATATATAAACAAATAAATTATTCATTCTTTAAAGAAGGAAGCAACATCACAGCAAAGGAGGAGGAAGGAACTACATTGCCTTTTTATTATGAGGTAGCATGCCATGTGTGGCTAATGGGAGTCTACAGCCTTCCTCCAGAGTGTATGTCTAAATATTTCCTTACCTTCTATTATCCATGATTCACTGGTTACTCTAAACTGAACCACCTGAGCATATAAGTAGTGCTTGTAATTTAAATATCAACTATTCTATCACTCTTATACTCCATTCTACTCTCTGAGGAAATTATTCTAATTGCTGTATTTATATATATGTATATATAGTTATGGAAATTGGAATGCAGGTGTATATATACACACAGGAATGACCAGAATTGCAAGCCTCCACATTGCTCTTAGGTGAACACTGTAAACAATTAGTGTGTCTCTTGCTGACTGCATGAGAGTGCACATGACAGAATGTTGCTTTCTTCTAGAGTGTCAAAAAAGCAAGGCAAGAACAGATGCCCTCTGTTTTGAACTACTTTCACTTTCACGGGGAAAAAACATAAGATACATATTTATAACAGAAAAGGGGCCTTATAGTTAGAGCCTAAGCTGTGCTGCATTCAGCATTTGATTACTTAATCAACGGGCAACCCCTACTATATATCTTTCATCAGTAGTGCAAGGGAGTGATAACTTCAAAGAAGCAATTATCGGAGATTATTGTAGATAAGTGCAGGGAGTCCTAGATGTCATCACCAGTGTTTCTGAGCTTTGTGGTGATTGATTAAAGAAGCATGTCATTCAGCACTGATCTACACAGGAATAAATGTCCTCAGGTTCTGAAGTCTTAAATAGATCTTCCCTATACAGCCAGGGTATGTGTTGGCTTTAGAAGGTGAAGAAAGAAAAAGAACAAAAAGTTCTGTAAAGAGATGTCAAAGGCCATTGGAGAAAGATTTTAAAAAGAGGGACAGTAGCACATGGGAAAATGGTCAGGAGCTGCCAAAAATGAAAGAGTAATAACCAGCTGTTTGTTAAATTGAACCAACTGACTATATATCTTCAAAGCAATATAAACTCAAAATTTATGAGGCCTACCTGTGAGGTGCTTTTACTTAAGGTAAAAGCTGCAATTTATAAAGGTTACCGAACACTTGTACTGTTTTAAAGGTTTGTTCTCTGAATTCAGTTAGTGCTTTCAATTGGAAAAAAATACTTATTGTTTGTGTTTAATGTATGTTTTTTTCACCTTAAAACAAACATACAAGACTTCAGCAGGTCTACCATTTTAGTGCATTTGAATAAAAACTGCAAAATCCCAAGTGGCTTTGTAAATAAGAGACCATATTATTTAAATGGAAGTAGCGGTTGATAAAAGTATGATCGTGTTTAGGTATATTAGTATAATGTGGTTTTATATTTAATAATTGATTAATTGCTTTTTTCATATATCTATTCCTAGACAGTATTCCCATTAAATTATTCTTTATCTATCCTTTGAACTGTATTTTATATTAGGAATGGCAGCTCTGAGAATTTAATATGAGGCAAGTTTATAAGAACTGAAGACTTGACAATGGCCTAAGAAGCAAAGTATCATTCTGAACCTAGACCTACATCCTTGATTTTGGAAATGTTTTTTCCAGTAAAAAAAAAAAGCAAGAGCACCAGTTTATAGTATCACTCCGTATTGCAGCACAGTAAGAAACGATTTGGCGTGCCAGTTCCTCTTAAGTAAAACAGTCTGTGCATAATGTGAAGAATAAACAACAGGGCTCATTTAAAAATGATGTAAAGGGCCATTAGGCACTTAATTCCTGGAGGCTCTGTAGAAAATTCAGTTACAAAGAATATCTAGTCTGGCCTATTGTGTTCTGTTTGTGGCATAGCATCACCTGTTGGTGTTTGATCTAGTTCATAATCTCATATACTATGAACTTCATGTGTTTAAAAATAAGCTGATGTATAACTACAGTTAATTAGTGTTAGTAATTGAGGAGTACAGTAATGTATTGGACTCAAAGCGAGTCTGATTGTAAATCAGGGCATTAATCACTTAAATTGAATAGATACATTATCAATTAACTGCTGGAAAATTTGATTCTTAATTGATTTGTGATGATTTTAAAATTATTCCTAGATATTGCCATGTGTTTCATTTTATATTTTTTCCTGATGCATGTTTCAGAATTGAGTCTGTCGATAAAAATCAACATACAATATCAGAATGTAAAATTAAAATGTAAAGAAGTAAATTCCTAATTTATTTTTCTCAGTTGTGGTGTCTGTTTTGTATTACTCTTAAGGCTGACAAATCCAGAAAGATAATATGCTGCTACGTCAAAGCCAAGATGTATGGATTTCTCAGGAAAATACATGTGCAGATTTGCATCCCTTGAGTACACACAAAGTAAAAGATTTGCGAAGTCTTTCCAGTGATGCTGAAATCTTTTCAGGGTGATGAAGGCACTTATAATGTATGCTGTTCACTGTTTGTAAAATAATAGATGAACAAAGAAAATACTCTAAAGAATATTTTTGGGGAAATGAAAGGCAAATTAATTTGGAAAAAAAAAAATTGTGAAAAGATACGCATGTAGGGTCAAGAAGCACCAGAAAAACTTTCCAAGCTCACAGGCAAACTCACAGGAGAACAGACTGTGGGGAAGAACTGAAGTTGCACTATATTGTCAAAGAATGATTAATCTGTAACAACAACAAAAAAAAGGCAAGTGAGCTTTCTTCTTGGCAAAGAGTTTGTAGAACAATAACTATTGTACTGGAAATTTCTTGGATGTGACCTGAAATGAATGCAGTTCTTAGAGAAGTCTTGCCTACTCAGGCAACACTGGGTGACACTGTGCATGTGTAACGTTAAAAAGCGTTAGAATGTATTGATTTTTTGAAGTTTGTCATCTTCTGCTCTTCCAGGCCTCAGATTGTAAAATTATTTGGAGGAGCTCACTTCCAACTTGGACGCTTGTGTAGCAGTTACAGCTCCTGAGCACACTAGAGAACATGATTTCTTTATTGCTACCTCTCAAAGGAAGTGTTTATGCCTTTGTATATAATTAGCTCCACTGTGAAGAAGCTCTGAGAAAGAAAAGGCTTGGTTATCTTGTTAGACTTGTGGTTCAGCAGGGTGGAGAGTAGTGTAGAACAGAATGTTTTGCACTTAGTCATAAGCAGTACTAGAGGCAACTAAAATCATTAGTATCTACTGGCTGAGTGTGGGATTCTATTACGAGTAGAAAAGGAGAAATTCAAAGCCTGATAGTGGCTCTGGAGAAATACTACTGGGTGGAAATTCCATCTCAACCTGAACTCTGTTCCTAGGGTCTCATTTTCCCATTAGGCAACATGATCAGAAAAATAATTTTCTGCACAGAGAAACAATGCCTATACATCAAAGTTCATAGCAACTTGGTAACATCAGGCCTCAGTGATTTGAAGACCATGGAGCACTTTGCCAGTCTTGGCTGGACTGTCCTACCTACACGCATCATAAGTTCAGATTTGATGTCCTCTGTCTATTCAGACCGTTGAGAGATGGACTGTGTGGTCAACATTTTCCTAGTAAAGATGGTTGCCATAATAGCAGCTGTGAAATAATGGGTCACCTCCACTGGTACAGATGAGTGTGGCATGCAGGCTCTTGTTCATTGCTGGAGTAAATGCATAGCTAATGGTGGTGACTATGTTGAAAAGTAGTGTTTTGTAGTGAGAGTCTTCCGTGTCAAATAGTGGCCTTGTGCTCTTTGTATGTGTTGTAGTTTCCAAGGAAGTAAACAGGAGGCATTACTTTTGGAAAAATCTATGTAAAACTATGTCCCATTTCAAAAATACGTCGCTCACTACTGCAAGTATACATGTAGTGATGGTGATACAAAAATACTTGCAAAAATATGTTGTTTTTTTAATTCTGTAAGGCTTAACTGATTTGATAAAGAATAATTGGAGTTGTACTGGAAATGGCTAACTTCATGTAAATCAGCATACATGCCATCAGAATATATTAAGTGCACTGACTTCTTGTCCTCAGGGTAGGGGATTTTCCTTTTCATAGCTGTGCAGTATAGGTTTTATTTAGCAGAATTGTTCTCATTCTCAGTTTTAGGCCTCTAGTTTGGAAGACAAAATTGATGCTCTATAACCAGTGACTGAGGAAGGAACTTCTAAGGGCCTATTCAGACCATCTTTGCCGGAAGTCAAATTGCTGCTCAGTTTTAGGTGGCCTGGATTGCACTATGGAAAATCATGGAAGATTGTACTTTCGTCATTAATGCGTATCTTAAAAAGGCTGTTCATCTGTATATTAATGTAAATGCATGTGCATTGAATTGTAATACTTTCTAATGCACTGAAAAAAAAAGTATGTACTTTACAGGTATAGAACAATAAAAACCACTATGTCATTATTACTGTGCTGTATTTATTTGCAGTTGAACTTGGTCTGTGCATTCTCTTATCTCTCTCCTCAATATTTATGCTTATATGGTGGCTGAGAACATAAATACATTATTTATCCTTTTAAAATTTGCCATAAAGCCAATGAATCAGTCCTCTATATAAAACCTCCCATCTGCTGCTGTTGTCATACAATATTTAAATCTTCAAGTAATTCATCAAAAATCTTTTAATCTTGTTTAGTTTAAACTAAAATGCTTCCCGAAGTGCCAGTCACTGGATATTTCAGTTTCCTGTATACTTGATTTGCAAATCCAGATCTCTGTGGGTGCCCATTAGTGATGACATCAACTATTCTTTGTGCTGATTCCTGCTGTGCATCAGGTCTGAGATATTTTGAGCATTTAGATTCAAAGAGTTTAGAAAAATTCATAGCCCCTTTCTGTAATTATTAAATACTTTCCAGTCAGCTATACAAAATCTGTTTAATCTACCAGCCCAGATCTTAGCGGTAGAAGCTGAGCTGTAGCATTCTGACTGTGCTAATGGTTAGGCTGCCCTTGAGATCTTTATCAGCACCTGAAGTCCCTAGTCCCATTTCTGTGTGCACCTTCTCTTTCTGCCCTGGCTCTGTTTTAAAGCTGTCTTGTTCTTCACCACGGAGTTGTATTTTGAGGGGCAGCACATAAAGTGTCTAAGGATAGGAACTCAGGGACAGCAAGCTGCGGAGCTGCATCCCCACAGCATCCAATGCTCAGGCCTTCACTCACAGAAAAGACACAGAGAGGAGGAGATGAAGGCTGGAAAAGCAATGCAAATAATATTCTTCCCTGACATGAAGAAAAATTACTGAGGATGGTAAGATTCAGAGACCCTTAATAAGGACATCTACATCTGTGTTTAAGGGCATCCTATAGTATTTTGGAAATAAAATTCTCACTAGTGTCAGAGAGACCTAGCAGCTCTGAACACTTCCTTGCCTAAGATAATAAAGCAAGTTTCTGAGACTGTATTTTTTTAGGTTTTAAAGTCTGAGTTATTTGCATCAATTAATCTTCACCTCTTTAATTGTGAAAAAAAGGAAAAAACAGTTTAATTTGGACATCAAATACACTGACTTCTTGACTTTGAAAATGAATAAATAATGAGTCATCAGCACAAAAAAATACGTAAACAATAAATAAATTCTGCTAAATACCATAAGTTACCCATTGCTCACTTCACCATTGCTTTTCATTGTCAGTCACGTAAAAGAATTATCCTGGAACCATGTGTGTGAATCTTGGTAACTAACCTGAAGAGAGTGGGAAGGATTTTAACTTTTCAGAAATCACCAGGTGGAAAGTGACTTGGTAAAGATGACAGTTGACTGAAGTAAAAAAAAAAGCAGCTGCCTACTCTTTACCCAAATGCATGCTCTCTGGAGAAATTGAAACTAAAAATTTTAACGCTAAAGGATGGAGCTTTCTCTGCTTCATGCTATATCATCCCATCCAGCAGTATGAACAACATACAAGAACCAGAATATCACCTTCACAGAACATGCAAGAGATATGCAAGCAGTTCTGATGCGCATTAATGCTGTAACTGCTGTAAGTGGAGAACCTCACAAAGCACAGCTTTTCTGCTGCAATTAGCTTATGGTTTTTCAAGCAGGAAATCAACTTCAGGGGTGGTGGTTTTCCTACAGCTAACATAACTAACGTAGCAATTGTTTGATCTTTGCAGGTTTTTAAGTGTATAGTTTTGTATATAGTCAATGGAAAGAGTTTAGTATCTCTGTAGCTACCTCAAAATATCTCATAAAACTAGAAGTAAATGAATATAAAAATTACTGAAATAAGGACATATTCACACTGCAGTAATTTTCTTCTACATTTGCCTATTTAAGTAACTTGTGTATTTATGACAGACTGAAGATGGAAGAAATAATATGCACACACAATAATATGCAAATAACTTTGTTTCCTTTAAAACTCAAAGGAGGGAAATTATGCTCATTTGGGGATTACAGGATGTAGGCTATTTGAAGAAGCTTTTGACTGGTAAAGAGAAAATTATCTAATTTGAAAAGAGGAAGATCTGTCCAGCAGCTGGGACACGAACTGATGGAACCCATTCTTCCATTCCTGGCACTGGAAAAATTTCCTCTGAGATCAACTCATAGTCTGATTCTATTTGACATTTCTCATTTTCACTTTAACTTCTGCCTGAAATAGTTACAAATACTAGTCTTAAAAGACTTAAAATTTCTTTATTTTGCCTTATCCTTTTTATTTTTGAAGGAAGAATGGATTATAAACATTTACTTGAAAAAAACATACAGTGCTCACAAGATATTGTAGCAATTTAAGAATAAATTAAAATTGGATGGAGCGTGGGAAGCTAGAATGACATGTAGTGTTTTTACCTTGACAGCCTTTCACTGGAGGTGGAACAGGGAAAGATCTTGACACGTCTTGACACCTCCAGGTAGAAGGCAGGTAATTTATTTCAGATGCAGTAAGAATCGAAAATTAATGTAGTCACAAGACCAGAAAAAAAAACCAACAGATGAACTCAACATTTCCTAACTGAGTGCTGATCTTGTGTATTTGTAGGAGTAAAAGTAATAAAATTAAAACACATTATAAAACAACATATATAAATATTATTTCTATATAAACAATTATAACTGGCTTGCCTATCAGAGTAAAGCTGTGAAGAAAAAAAGATCCATTAAGGCAATTTGGAAATGTCATGTGACAAACAGTGCAAAATTCTTGAAATCACAAAACAGTTAGAAAATTTATGGAAACAGCTGTATGTTCTTATTTACCTCTTTTGTTAGGTGTCCTAAACAGCTTTTTTTTTTTTTTCTTCTGAGTTGCTGCCTTCCCTTAAGTTCTCATTCTCAATTTCTTCAATCTATCTCATTACTTTTTAAACTTTTTTTCTTAAAAAAATAGATGAACAGAGACTTAATCCCACCAGATAAACAGTTCTAGTAGCTAGAATTTTAAGTTTTTCTGTTTTGGTAAGGTTGATGAGTGCATTAATATTGAATATGGTCAGTTTTCAATTTATCTAAGATGATGAGAAATGAGATGACAGTTAAAATATATATAATATAATACTTAAGCTATAAG